TTCTTATCTTTCTATTATTCTTAAAAAAAAAAAAAAAAAAATCCGTTCTTTTTATAGTTCACCCTTTTCATTCTATTTTAGTCCTGATTTGTTTTTTTTTCTTTTGGTCTTTTTTTTTCTGATATGATAAACTAAAATGTTTTAAGAGGTTTTTAATTTAAGGCGAAAAAATTTTACGATTTTATAAAGTGAAATTAAAATTGTCATCTACCACTATTACTATTATTGTTAGTAATATTAGTATTGTGTCACACATATATATTTTGGCAAAATCGCTATCATACAATAATGTCACATTAATGTCACACATAAACGCACACATACGCACACACACACACACACACACACACACACACACACACATACACACACATACACTACTGCTGATCTCTTTGTTTTAGTATTACTGCGAAAAATGTTTACAACCGATCTGACAAATATTTGATGATTTTCTAATTAAAATTAATAGACTTATTGACTTTTTATCATAGTGTATCTTTCCTGATATTATTATCACCACCCTCTTATCATAGTGTACCTTTCTTGATATTATTATCACCACCATCTCTTTTTCCCTCATCCAAATTTGTTATCTCTCTTTAATCATTTCTTCCATACCATTAGAATATGCAAGCAAAAATTATAAATATTTGATAACAAATTTTATATTTTTATCAGTAATATTTGAGCCAATAAATTTAGCATATAATTATCATTTACAATGATAATATAAAAATGTTTGAATTATTAGAAATTTTAATTGAAATTAAAATTAACTAATTGTTCGTTTATTTGTTTGTTTCGTTTTCGCTTTTTGTTTTGAAATAGCGAATTTTTTTTTTTTTGTTTTAAAATGAAATTTATAATTTATTAAGCAGTGAAGAGAAGATAGATAATTTCATCCAGTGAATGTCTGAATCACAAACAAGTTCAGCATCTGCATCAACAATTTTGACTATTTCAAGTGATTTACCATTGGATGATCCATTATCATTGGAAAAAACGGTGAAGGATTTGCCGAAAATTTCGAATTCATTTCAAAATGCTGAATTAAATTCTGTGAATTGCGAAAATTTCCAAACCAAAAATGATGAAACTATTATAGCAGCACCTGTATCTATTTTAAAAAATGCAAATCCTGATAAGGTTGAATTGGAATTATCTGTGGATGCTCAAAAATCATTACGAAATGATAATCAGGATGAAGTTCATCATGTAATATCTCAGGAGACGAACATCAAGACGAATGATAAAGTTGAAATTAAAGGGAAACAAAAAGTTGTGATAAGGGAGATGTTTGAAAATGATCCATCAATTGATACGATGAAAGGTGACATTGGTGATAATGAAGTGAAAAAATCAGTTAATATTCCTATTATTCGGAATGTTGAATTTAAAATTGAAAATGATGAAGTATGTGGGAAGAATTTGGAATCGATGGTGACAAATTCAACAAATATCACAGATGAAAGGAATAATGCTGAAGTTAAAACTTCTGAAATGATGAAATGCTCTGAGGATATTGTCCTAGAAGCTAATGGAAATCGAGTTGACGCAAAAAGTCCAAATCGGACAATGTCCGAAAGTCCTCCTGGTGCTACAGATAGTTGGAAAAATGCTACAATTAATATGAATCATTTACTTGATGATGGTACTCGAAGTGGTGATATACAATCAGCTTACAATACGACATTTCGAAATCATCAAACAAAAATTATTTATAATAATAAAACATTGAGTGAGTTAATTTTAAATAAATTAATTGGAATAAAATTTTTGTATTATTTATTTAAGTATTTGATTTCGATGTATTTGTACGATGAGTGTATTTCTTGCATATTATATTTGTATAACATTATAAATAATAGAATTGATAATACTATCAGTAAATGATAATACTATTAGTAAGTGCTAAGATTGATGATATTCTATGATTACAAGTTAAATAATAGAATTGATAATACTATCAGTAAATGATAATACTATTAGTAAGTGCTAAGATTGATGATATTCTATGATTACAAGTAAATAGTAATTGATATCATTCGTGTGCTAACATTATGCTATCATTCCTAATGGAATTAATTAATTCATTATTTCTTTTTTCTTTCATTAGCAGAATTTGTTTCTAAAATCAATGCTAAATCTTCCTCTTAATCAATGTTTTCTTTTTTTTTGCTTATCACTTACTGGTGCAAAAATTTTATTCTTACATTTAAATCTAATTCAAATTAATTTTCTCGAATTTTAACCTATTCCAATTCTTATTTGAGTAATTATTTTTTATTAATCCATTTTAACCTTAATTTTTGTTCTTTTTCTACTTTTTCAAATTTTTTTATTCACTTATCTTTATTTTAATTTTAAATTTTCATCCTTTTTTATTTTTTAGAAAAAGAAAGAATAAAAAGATATTTGCATTTTCATTGAAGAATTAATTTCCTTTTTTTTTAAAAAATT